TGAAGAAGAAGACATGGGCTGTTTGGTGGTGATTTCCTTGTTTCTCAAAGGATGATTTTTGCTTTAAGTTTGTCAGGTATTGCCCGTGCAGTTGAGGTAGTCAGAAGCTTGCTGAAGGCCAAAATGTAATACGAACATTAATACACAGCTAACTTTTGAGCACGGTGAGGGTTCGGGGCTGACCCCCTGCACCATTTTATACATGGATAAAAAATCCATGTATAACTTTTGACTTCTCCAGAACTTAACTCCTGATAGCCTACTATTGAATGGAAACCTTCTGATAACATAAACAGATGATTAACACATATTTTGCATATTATATGTGTTATATGTTGTATTCTTATAGTAAGGTAAGATAAAGAAAATAAATGTTATTAAGAAAATCGTAAGGAAGAGAAAATACATTTACAGTGCTGTACTGTAAAAAAATCCATGTGTAAGTGGGCCTGCGCAGTTCAGACCTGTGTTGTTCAAGGATCAGCTATAATTACTGTTGCTTAGTACCTACTCTTTGATAGGCGAATCCACAGGAGTGGCTCTGGGGCTCCCCTTCACCCCTTTGCTAATCCTTACGATCCGACAGACCCTTTTTACCTGCCCTTCAAGCTACCTGTATGTGCCTCCCTGCCACCACCCTGCCAGGTGGCTGTGCACAGACTTGTTTCCAAAACTATAAAGTGTGTGGGTGCCAAAGGGCACAGCGTCCCCTGTCTTGTCTTGTATGGTACAGAAATGAGAGGAATTCTCCTCCTCGCCGTTCTGTCACACTGTTAGCTGTGTACAGAATTAGTTCTTTTTAGGCCTCCATGGTCTCAGAGTCCTTTGAGAATACTGGTCTTTTAGCTTTTCCTTGTAACCTTTTTTTCTACGAAAAAGTTCCTTCAGAAGTACTCAAGGCCAGACCCACAGACTAGTTTCTCAAACTGCTCCTTTGCTGCTCCTCTCTCTTTCCCACAGTACATCATATTCCTATTATTTTCCAAAAACCCTTTTGCACATTGACTTCTGTGTCCTACCATTAGGCTGAAGTTATTCCATTCAGAGTGTGCACATAGAGACATACACATTACATCATTTCTCTGAGCTACCCTGCAAGGTAAGTAGAAGTACCCCCATTCTGGGGGGGATACAGATTCAGTGAGATACAGTAACCTTCTTGGGGTCAGTCACATTGCTAAATGTGGCATTGGGACCCATGTGTGATTCTAGTGCCCTTAGTTTGCAAGTTTTTTTTTTTTTTTTTTTTACTTGTCCCTTGTATTACCGAAGGAAAGGGCCAAGCTGCTGTAACAATTCTGCTGATGGGACGGGGAGGACAACTCTGCTTTGACAGAGTTCTTTTCCATCCAAGTCTGTGTTCTTTTCATCCTGTTGGCTCCACCAGGTGTAGGGCAGTGCCGCTGATCAGCCCCACGTACAAGAGTTGAGTTTTACTAGATATTTACAACCTGTGTCTCTTCTGAATGGTTGGACATAGGTTCTGAATGGGCACTGTCTATATCATATAAGTTATTAAATATTTTAAGTGTCACCTTGCCCTGGGTTTTGTCCACATCTGTATGGTTGAAGCTGGGTCACTGCCATGTCTGTATTATAACCCAAGGAAATGGGAAAAGAAATCCAAAGCAATTAGCTTGTTGCAAAAGTGAGGCAACTTAAAATTTGCACACATCACTTCCAGTCACAACCCATTGGTCACCACTTGGACACGTGGCTGCTTGGCTGCAGGGGAGGCTGGGAAATGTCATCTCTAAGCATGTGGCCTGGTGCTCAGCTTAATAGCAAATGAGGTGGGAGTGGGAATCTAGAACCAAATGGAAGAAGGGAAAAGTGGCTACTTAAGACAGCTTCCACCACATCTACCTAATGTCACTTTTTCAGAAAATCATTTTGTTCAAATTGAACAGAATTACTGTAAATTAAAAACCGTTAGACCTGCCCTATCGGATTATTGTGAGGTTTAATGAGGTGTCATGTTTTCAGCCCCTAGTACAGAGCCTGGCACATAGCAGACATCTAACACATATATATGCATCATTTAAGAGGCAAAAATTTTAGCTTCAGATTTTGTCTGCATTATAATTGGTAGTTGAGACTATTTTGTGCCATTTTTATGATTTTGTGTAAATGCTTAGGAATTTCTACAGATTTGGACCATACCAAGGTTAATTTTTACACTGAATATCATTTCAAGCTTTGAGTTAGATTTTTTTTTTGATTTGCAAAACAACCAAACCTAAAACAGAAAGTGCTAATTTATTGTATTGAGTCGAGTCTGAGTGCATAGTAGCAGGTGGCTACTGGTATCTGTTAAATACTTGGCTGATTTTTAGGCTTCAGAGTGAGTTATTTGATGTACAATAAGACAGACTTGCTTAGTAACCAGATGCAGAATCTAGTCATTAGCCGGAATAGATGAAAAATCTGTCCACATTTAGAATCTAATTTGTAACTATTAAAATTCTTTCTGTATATCTATATTAATTATTACTGAATTATCATGACTTAGAAACAACCTTTCATGCTTTATAAATTTGTGATTTGTTGATGGATAGATAGTTGGGCATTAATGAACAGAAGTTTCTGTTGTGGAGTTTGGCTAAACTTCCTAAATTGGGATATATTGATGTCACATTCTAAAGAATCCTATACTTCAGATAAGCAGTGACTAATTAACAAAAATCACGTGATTTGGACTGGAAATATCTTTCAGTTGAGCATGGTTTATGTTCACCAAAATTTTCAATATAATATTTTTTAAATAGTCACAATAAGCCAAGATCAGATTGTTATATGAAATAATATAATCAGAAACTCATATATCTATATTTTCCATTTCTTAAATAAAAATAAATGCTACCTTGTAAGATATTATTGCAGGTTTTTCTCTTTAGCCTTTTAGTGTATGTTTAAATGTTATTTTGAGGACATAAGAAAAAATACAATATGTTCTTAGATATTGAAGTGGGAGTTTGAAGGCAAAATGGTCTGTACTCTAAATAAGTAAGTAAAAATTTTAAATAAATAACTTTTTATTTTAATGTATATAGAAATTTTTATCACAAATATGAAGTATTTTATATAAGTGAGCATGTAGATGGGAGAAAACTATTAATTCTGTAGATCATTGTCATAGCTTTATTGAAACATTCAGTTATGTATTTATTTTTTTAATCCTCGTGTTTTATGGGCTCTTGGATCTGTGGGAGAATGGTCGTTTGTATTCTAATTGGTCATTCAAACAAGAATTTTGCTACTCCCTGAGCTATATGCAGTAGATATGCAAATGAACAGCCTGATATACTATTTTGAAATTGTTAATACAGTTTGTTTGTAACGTTAACTTTATGTAATCTTACAAACAAGTCTTACGTAAATTCCAAGTTGGCTGTGGAGGGTGTGTATGTATAAAAAGAGGGATATATATATATATATATGTACAAATATTTATGTGCATATATATTTGTGTATGTATGGGTGTGTGTATAGATATAATTTTTTTAAGTAATTTCTGTACCCAACATGGGGCTCAAACTCACAACCCCGAGATCAATAGTCGCAACTGACTGAGCCAGCCAGGCACCCCTATATATAATTTTTTAAAGCAGATGGTAGGATGATGTAGTGATAGCTAGAATATGAATAAAATACATGTAATAAAAGAAAATTCTAACTATATGTAATGCTACCAGGAGCTTGCAGATAATACTATGATGATAATATTAGATAAAATTTATCACAGTGGTAAAAGCTTTGCATGAATTGTTTATTTAGTAACTCATGAGATAGGTACTGTTACCTTCAATTTAGAAGGGAGGAAACAGAGTTAGAAAGGGTAAGTCACTTGACAAAGGTCAAACAACTGTTAGTTTCCTACTGCTGCTGTAACCAGTTGTCACAAACTTAGTGGGAAGGTGAGAAGTCTGAAATGGGTGAGAAGTCTTTGGACTGAAATCAAAGTGTTAGGGCTGTGTTCTTCTGGATGCTCTAGGGGGAGAATCTCTTTCTTCCCTTTTCCAACTTCTAGAGGCTGCTGAAATTCCTTTCCTCCATCTTCAAAGCCAGCAGCGTCCATTAAGGCTGTCTGATGCTGTCATCCCTCTGGTTCTCTCTTCCAGTTATCTCTTCCCCTTTTAAGGATTCTTGTGATTACAGTGGATCCACACAGATAGCCCAAGGTAATTGCTCTAGTCTAAGGTCATCTGATTAGCAACCTCAATTCAAACTGCTGCCTAAATTCTCCTTTACCCTGGAGCCTGACCTCTTCACAGGTTCTGGGTATGAGGTTCCAATCATCTTTGGAAGCCATTATTCCGCTTACCACAGTAGTATAACTGGAACTGGTCCTCAACTCTGTCTGCCTCTAAAGCCATTCCTTTAGGAAATTCAAAACCCAGCCCTGAAGTCATTTTTTTCAGGGTGGGTTTGCACTTATTGAACATGATCTTAATGAGGGTTGGATAACTTTCGTAGCAGTTTAGGAAATTTAGCTTTCTCTATATAAACTATGGAGAAAGTGATCTCATTTATATGTTGTAAGTACCCGATACATTTTTTAAAAGTTTAATTGGCAGGAAAAGAGAATCATGATTAGGATTCAAATGTAAGAATACTCAATAACAATCTCTTGTAATTTAAATAATAAATATTGTCCTTAAAACTTTGTACTACTTAATAACACTTAATCATCTCATGCCTGGTATTTGGGGCATTGCTTCACACAGGAATCAGTATTTTATGTTTAAGGTTTTACAATTTTGATAATGGTTAACTAATTTATTTTAAAGCTCTTCTTTTTAAACTGATAATATTGGTTGCCTCTGAGGAAGGGAAGTGCCTGTCTGGAAGATAAAGGGAAGAATTTTCACTGTATGTCCTTTTGTACTTTTTGTACTTTGATAAATGTGAATGTATAAACTAAAAACAAATAAAACTGTTAACTTTTTAAAGTAGGGTAAAAGAACAGCTCCTAATTCTTCACTGTCTCCACTCTCCAGGATCACCCCTTTTATGTCATTCTGTGAGGAAAATTAGTTCTCAAGGAGAAAAATCCAAACCCATCAAACAATCTCTTAAGAAGCCAAAGTTACCAGAAGGTCGTTTTGATGCACCAGAAGATTCTAATTTAGAGAAAGAACCACTGAAAAGTGAGTATGGGCATACCTCACGGATATTACGGGTTTGGTTCCAGACCACTGCAGTAAAACAAATATGGCGGTAAAGTAAGTCAAATAACTGTTTTTGGCTTCCTAGTATGTATAAAAGTTATGTTTACACTATACTGCAGACTGTAAAGTGTGCAATAGCACTGTGTCTAAAAAAACAATATATATACCTTAATTTAAAATACTTTATTGCTAAAAAATACCATCACCTGAGCTTTCAGTGAGTCATAATGTTTTTCTGATGGAGGGACTTGCCTCAGTGTTAATGGCTGCCAGCTGATCAGGGTGGTGCTTGCTTGCTATAACAATTTCTCAAAATAGGACAACAATGAAGTTCGCCACATTGATTTATTTCTTTCATGAAAGACTTCTCTGTAGCATGAGATGCTGTTTGGTAGCATTTACCCACAGTAGAACTTTCAAAATTGGGGTCAATCCTCTCAAACCTTGCCACTTCTTTGTCAACTAAGTTTGTGTAATAGTCTACCCTTTGTTGTCGTTTGAACAGTCTTCACAGTATCTTCCACAGGAGTATATTCCAATACACAAAACCACCTTTGCTCATCCATAAGAAGCAAGTGCTCATCTGTTGGAGTTCTACCAAGAGATTGCAGTAATTCAGTCGTATCTTCAGGCTCCACTTCTAGTTCTAGTTCTCTTGCTGTGCCCACATCTGCAGTTAACTTCCTCCACTGAAGTCTTGAACTCCTCAAAGTCATCCATGAGGGCTGGAATCAACTTCTTCCAAATTCCTTTTAATGTTGATATTTTGACCTCTTCCCATGAATCACACATGTTCTTCATGGCATCAAAATGGTGAATCCTTTCCAGAAGGTTTTCAACTTACTTTGTCTGAATCATCAGAGGAATCATTACCTATGGCAGCTACAGCCTTACAAAATGTACTTCTTAAATAAGACTTGAAATTCGAATGACTCCTTGATCCACGGGCTGCAGCATGGATGTGTTAGCAGGCATGAAAACATTAACCTCATTGAACATTTCCATCAGAGCTCTTGGGGGACCAGGTGCATTGTCAATGAGCAGTCATATTTTGAAAGGAATCTTTTTTTCTGAGCAGTAGGTCTCATCAGTGGGCTTAAAATACTCAGTAAACCATGCTGTGAACAGATGTGCTGTCATCCAGGCTTTGTTGTTCCATTTATGGAGCACAGGCAGGGTAGATTTAGGATAATTCTTAAGTGTCCTAGGATTTAGGGAATGGTAAATGAACACTGGCTTCAACTTAAAGTCACCAGCTGCATTAGCCCCTAAGAGGAGAGTGAGCGTGTTCTTTGAAGCATTGTAGCCAGGCATTGACTTCTACTCCCAGCTATGAAAGTCCTTTTTCCAATAGAAGCCTGTTCCATCCACATGGAAAAACCTGTTGTTCAATGTAGCCACCTTCATTACTTATCTCAGCTAGATCGGGATAACTTGCTGCAGCTTCTATATTAGCACCTGTTGCTTCACCTTGTGCTCTTTGATGTTATGGTGATGTCTTCTTTCTCCATATCAGCAATAAAGCTGTTTGCTTTCTTATGGTTTGTGCGTTCACTGAAGTAGCACTTTTCATTTCCTTCAAAAACTTTTCCTTTGCCTGCACAATTTGGCTAACTGGTTGTCGCAAGAGGCCTAGCTTTGACCTATTTCGGTTTTCAGTGTGCCTTCCACATTAAGCTTAATCATGTCTAGCTTTTGATTTAAAGTGAGAAACATGTGACTTTTCCTTTCACTTGAACACTTAGAGGCCATTGTAGTGATACTAATTGGCCTAATTTCAGTATTGTTTTGTCCCAGGGAGTAGAGAGGTCCAAAAGGGGGAAAGACAAGGGAACGACTGTTTAGTGGAGCGGTCTGAGCACATGCAACATTAATCAGTTAACTGTTTTATATGGGTATGTTTCCTGATGCTCCAAAACAATTACAATAGTAATGTCAAAGATCACTGATCACAGAGCACCATAATAAATGTAATAATAATGAAAAAGTTTGAAATATTGTGAGAATTACTAAAACATGACACAGAAACACAAAGTGAGCAAATGCTGTTTGGAAAAATGGCACCAATAGACTTGCTCATAGTAGGGATGCCACAATTTGTAAAAAAAAAAAAAAAAAAATGCAGTATCTGTGAAGCATAATAAAGCTTCTCTTAATTTTTGAAGTGTCAAAGAAAGTATTTTAGTTATTGAGAAAAAAGAATGAAAGAAACATGTTGTTTATAATTCTTTATCCACAACACACTGACCATCACTTTGGGTAGGTTTAGAAAAAATAATTTCCAAACCCCTCACAATGATTGACTGTGTTTGTTTTATTTACTATACCCCATTATTCACATGACAAAGTATATGAATTGAGACCTGTTCCGATGCAAATAACTTGAAAACCACTTGAGCAGACTTAAACAAAAGGTAGTGCAGGTTGTTACTGGGCTACAAGGTACACAGGTGGGGTACCCCAGGGCAATGATGCTTCTGGGTCTTGGAAAAAAATGGATCTTGGGAGTAAACACTGTATGGAAACCAGGATATTCTTCCTCCTTCTCTTGTCCCTGGTCTTCTCTTCATTGTTTTCTGTCATCAGACTCCCTTCTAAGTCCACTGGGTGGAAGGAACTGCTCCTTGCTGCTCCTCGGGTCAATAGAGCAACTAGACTGAAAATACAATTGTTTAGTTCTAATTCCAAATTTCTTTTTTTTTTCTTTTTTAAGATTTATTTATATGAGAGAGTGAGAGCACACCGGGTGGGGGTGAGGGAGAGGGAGTGAATCTTGAACAAATTCCCTGCTGAGTGTGGAGCCTGAGGCGGGGCTAGATCCCAGGACCCTGAGATCACAACCTGAGCCAAAACCAAGAGTTGGTCACTCAACCAACTGAGCCACCCAGATGCCCCTAATTCCAAATTTCTTAAGAAGAGAGCTCATTGGCCAAGCTTAGATCAGGTGTCTATAGCTAAATCAATCTGAGTGGCCAGTGGGATGGGTCACAGGTGAAGGTGGTTATTCTCACCATAGCCATGTGGTTGGAGAAAGAGAAGGGGAAGTTTGGAGAAAGAAGAGGTTTTTGAGGGTGGTGGGATAATAGACTAAACATTGTTTTGTATTTAGTACATACAAAATTTGGTTCATGTCTTAAAGCTGTTTTTTAAAGTGCTACTTTATTTTCATTCTATACTCTTTTGTACCTTTGAATTGTGGAACATGTGCAAGTATTAGCTATTCAAAAACTGATTTTAGATAGCGTAAATGTAAACATACCAGTCTGAAACTTTGGCATGCCTCCCCTGCTTGTCTCCTGAGAGTTAACCCATCTATGTAGTGAAGCATCCTAGGCAAGAAGAGATCAACAGAGGATACAGGGACCTGTTATCTGGAGCTCTTTAGATTATAAAAGCTTTTCTTTTTGTTCATTCAGTTAAATATTTCAGTTTATAGCACTTTATTAAGCCCAGTCTAATAACCAGATCAGTCAGTCAGCCAAAATGATGGAGACTTTTAAAAAGCATAATCTAAAGGTAAAATTCTTCTTTCATAGTTTTAGCCAAGCACAAAAATCTAAGAGGAAATTTTTCATTAAAACATCATACACAAAAGTAGCAATCCCAGAAGTAAACCCTCACATATATGCTCAATTGGCTTTTGAGAAGGTTGCCAAGATCATTCAGTGGGGGAAAAGACAGTCTTTTCTATACGTGGTGCTGGGAAAACTGGATATCCACATGCAAAAGAATGAAATTGGACCCTTACACCATAAATAAAAATTAACTCTAAATATGTCAAAAACCTAAAATTAAGAGATAAAACTATAAAATTCTTTGATGAAAACACTGGGAAAAATCTTCATGATACTGATTTTGACAGCCATGTCATCGTTACGACACCAAAAGCATAGACAACAAACACAAAAGTATATAAACTGGACATTATCAAAATTAATAAATTTTGGACATCAAAGGACATTATCAAGGAAGTGAAAAGAAAACCTACGGAATGGTGGAAAATATTTGTAGATCATATACCCAACAAAGAATATCAAGAGCGTGTAGAAAACTCCTACAACCCCACGAAAACAACTCAATTCAAAAATGGACAAATGACTTGAATATACATTTCTCCAAAGATACACAAATGACTAACAAGCACTTGAGAAGGTGCTTAACATCACATTCCTTACAAATCAAAACCACAGTGAGACACCACTTCACACAAACTAGGATGGCTACAATTTAAGAAAAACTGGAAAATAAGTGGTGGCAACAATGTGGAGAAATTGGGACCATCCTGTGTTTCTGGTGGGAATGTAAAATGATGCAACTACTCTGGGAAACAATTTGGCAATTTCTCAAAAAAGTGAGATATAGAACCCAGCAATTCTACTCCTAGGTATATATCCAAAAAAATTGAAAGCAGGGCCTTGAGCAGATATCTGTATACCTGTGTTCATAGCAGCTTTATTCACAGTAGCCAAAAGAAACAACTCAGATGTCCATCAATAGATAAATGGATAAACACAACATGGTATGTGGAATACTACTCAGTAATAAAAAGGAATGGCATTTTGATTGTGCTACAATGTAGATGAACCTTGAAAACATTATGCTTAGTGAAATAAGCTAGACACAGAGGGACAAATATGATTCCACTTAAATTATGTACCTAGAGTAGGCAAATTCATAGAGACAAGGTAGAATATAGGTTATCAAAGTCTTGAGGGAGGGGGGGAAAAGGAAAGTTTTTGTTTAATGGGTACAGAGTTTATATTGAGGATGATGAAAAACTTTTGGGTATAGATAGTGTAATGGTTACAGACCACTGAGAATGTAGTTAATGCCACTGAATTGTATACTTACAAATGGTTAAAATGATAAAATGTTATATATATTTAATACAATAAAAAATAAAAAAGTACATTTCAAAAGGTAATCATCTGTTTGACACAATGCTAGGTATTCATCGTAACTTTTGAATCACTGAAATTTATGTTGAACATACCATCTCTTAGAAGCTGGTCTAGTAAACATCACCAAACCCAGCAAATGCTTTTCAATCCTCATTTTATAGGAACTGTCTATAAGCTTTGGCGTTGTTAACCATTGCTTCTGGAAATCTCCTGTGTTGGTTTTGGTTATGCGTTGTCCAGTTCCTCCTCCTATTCCTTGAACCATTTCTTCCTGAACTCTTTTTTAAGCTCTTCTACCTCTGCCCAAAAGCAGAGGTTCAGAAATCTGGGGATGGGTCTTCACTCCTGCTTCTTCCTGTGTCCTGGCTCCTAGTCTTGTTGATACCACCTCCTTAACATTTGTCAACTCATTTCCTCTTATCCATCCTACCAATAAAGCCCAAATTCAAGCATCCATGGTTCTTTTGGTCTGTCTGCCTTGTTTCCTTCCTTCTAGGCTTGTCTCCCTGCCTCTGGTACATATGTCATTCTAAGAAAAGTGTATAGGTTGTCCCTTTGCAGAGAGTAGACTTCATTATTAAGATAATAAAGGAAGATTGTTTGCAGCTGAGCACCCTGTCTGATGCAAGGATGAATAAGGAAAATGAGATACAAAAATAACTGAAGGCGCACCTGGGTGGCTCAGTCGGTTAAGCGTCTGCCTTCGGCTCAGGTCATGATCCCAGGGTCCTGGGATCGAGCCCTGCGTCGGGCTCCCTGCTCAGCGGGGAGTCTGCTTCTCCCTCTCCCTCTGCCCTACCACTCCCCTGCTTGTGAGCACTCTTTCTCTCTCTCTGTCAAATAAATAAAATTAAAAAAAAAAATAACTGTGAATAGGACGTTGTGTGATAACTGGCATAAAAGATATGCAAAAAAAGTTCAGAAGAAAAATAGAGAAAAGAGATAACATTTGAGCTGGGGTTTAAAGACACAATAAAATCATAAGTAGTTAAGGAATGGTGGGGAGAGGGGCGCCTGGATGGCTCAGTCGTTAAGCGTCTGCCTTCGGCTCAGGTCATGATCCCTGGGTCCTGGGATCAAGCCCCACATCGGGCTCCCTGCTCGGCAGGAAGCCTACTTCTCCCTCTCCCACTCCCCCGCTTGTGTTCCCTCTCTCGCTGTCTCTTTTTGTCAAATAAATAAATAAATAAATCTTTAAAAAAAAAAAAAGGCATGGTGGGGAGATGTTTCAAAAAAGAGAAAGGTGTGGTCAGAGAGAAAGAGGCTGGGGAACATGATACCTGTGAGACTCGGCCAATGGGCCTGTTTGGCTGCAGCATAGAGTGTACATAGTGGATTAATAGAATCTAAAGCCAGAGAGGTAGATATGGCTCAAATCTGGGAGGGCCTGAAGGATCAGGTTATAGCATATGGGCTTTCTGCAGTAGACGGTGAGGAAAGCTCTGAATGCTTTTGAAGGCAGATTATTTTAATCAGCTTTACTATAGTATAATCTGCATATAATAAAATTCACCCATTTTAAGTAAACAGTTCCATGAATTTTAACGTTTATAGTCATGTAACCAACACAAAGTATACAACAGTTCCATCCCACAAGGAGCCCCTAGTGCCTCTATAATTAGTCTCATTTCCCCAACCCCTAGCAACGATGAATCTGTTCTCTGTCACTATAATTTTGCCTTTCCTAGGATTTTATATAAATGAAATCATACAGTACATAGTCTTTTGTGTCTGGTGTCTGGCTTCTTTCACTTAATGTAATGTGGAGGAGGGATTCTGTTTTAGAAAGATTAATTCATCCTTCTGTGTAGATTAGGCTGAAGTCATGAGAGTCAGAAAACGGAAGAGTTAGAAAACTCTTAACATTATTAGTCTAGAATGTGACTCAGCATAACTCAGGGTGGCACTAGCGAGAGTAAAAAGTTTCAGAAAACTGCAGGTTATAATGAGGGTGAAAATTAGGTTAAAGAAACATGAGGGAAAAGTCTCCATAGAAGGTTGCAAGTCAGTAAGAAGAAAGCTCAAGAGTGTGGGACTTAGAGAAGGAACATATTCAGGAGGTAATGAAATCGAAGCAGATGGTGCAAGTGGACGTGAAGACCACTAGGAAAGAGGACCAAGGTCCTCTGTGTCCTCGGTATGTGAGGTTACTAATGTGGGTGTTCAGAGGAAGGATAATGGGGAGAGGTGAAGCTGTGAACCAAGTACTGATCCTATGCAAGAAGACAGAAGAGTCTTTATTACCAGACTGGAGAAAAGCACTGGACAAGTGAATGGTGTGGAATTCAAAAGAGGAAAGGCTATAGAGGTTTGGTGGGAGAATGAGAAGCTGGAAGTAGGAGTGAGGCACAGGGATATCTTGACCCTTTCTTCCCTAGTGCTGTGGACTGAATTGTGTCTCCCTGAAATCCATATTTGAAGCCCTAACCCCCAAAGTGGTAGTATTTGGAGATGGGACCTTTGAGAGATAATTAGGTTTAAATGAGGTCATGAGACTGGGGCCCCATGATGGAATTAGTGCCCTCATATTAAGTGACACTAGAGAGCTAGCCATCTTTCTCTCCCTGCCTTGTGAGGACACAGTGAGAAGGGGCCATCTGCAAGCCAGGAAGAGAGTCTTCCCCAGACCCAGCCATGCTGGCACCCTGATCTCAGACTCGTAGCCTCTAGAAGTGTAAGAAAGTTAATTTCCATTGTTGAAGCCGCTCAGTCTGTGGTAGTTTGTTATGGCGGCCCAAGTTGACTAAGACACTCAGTGAGCTCCAGAAATAACGGGAGACAGAAGATTTTCCCTTAGAGGCTTTCAGAGGAAGTCCAAGGATGGAGTTCTGTAGAAAACAGAATGATAAGTGGGGAAGAGTTTATTCACAGTAGGGAAAGAATTTTTAAAAATAGATAAATATTTGAAAATTTTCAAGGTAAATTCTCTATTTTCTTTTTCCTAGGGAGGGACTACATGATTTTGGTGATGTTCATTTACCTTTGTAAAGAGACACAGCTTAAGAATTGGGGTTCCTTCTAATAGCTGATTCGTCTCCTGCTCTTCCCATATACAGAGCAGTAGTTTATGGGCTAAGTATAAGACTGCAACCAGAATGTCTGAATTCAAACTCAGTTTTACCACAGTAGTAGCGGTGTAACCAGGAGCACCTTTCTGAACTTCTTTGTACCTCATTTTCCTCATCTCTAACATGGAGACAATAATTGTTCCTGTTCCATAGGATTATCATGAGGACAAAACGAGTTACTATGAATAAAGCACTCAAAAGTGGGCCTGACTCAAGATGGATGGTCTTATTATGAACACACAGTATTAATAGTAACATCTGTTGTGTCCATAAATGGCAGTATCAGCTAACCATTTACTGAAGCCAAAACCCTATGATGAAGGGCAAGAGTCCTCTTAGCTAAAATTAATTGATCATTCTTATGTACCCAGCACTGAGCTAGATCCTTTACATGCATTTCTTCATTTAATTCTCAACAGACTAAATCAGGTACGATTGGTGTACCCATTTTACTGATAAGAAAACTGAGAAATTGAGCCAAAGTAATCTTGTTTCAAAACCTTTCAAACCTTACTGCTTTGTACTCTCTATTCCCTGCATTTCTTTCCTTCTCTTACAATCCATCAGCATATATGCAGCTAACTCCCCACACTGGGGCCTGAGAACATTCCAGGAATTCTAAGTAATTAATTTGGTAATAAAGTTCATTGAATATGACAATTGTATCCTGAAGTGATTTCTCAAACTTGGGAAAAAGAACCACATTTACAGTTCATTTAAAAGGCTGCATAGTAATAACCTAGTCAGTGGTATCTACTGTAACCCTGTCTTCAGAATTGGCCATAATGCCTTTCTCATCCCTATTGACTACTGTTTTTGCATCTTCTGTCTTTCTTTAGAATTTCCAGATGATATTAATCCTGTTACCAAAGAAAAAGGTGGACCCAGAGGCCCAGAACCTACCCGATATGGAGATTGGGAACGAAAAGGACGCTGTATTGATTTTTAAGACACATATTATTAACTTCAGTATCTTTTTCTGAATGTGTACATCTGAATTTATTTCCAGTTGTTTTCTTTCTGTATATCCTTTAAGTCATTTAATTTCTATAATGTGTTTAAAAACATAAATAATGCCTTGAAAGAAAATATGCTGCTATAAATTAAGGGGAAACAGTTGTACATTAGCACATTAATTTAAATATATTGGAGTATATAAATGGCAATTAGAGCTGCAAACTCATTTCATCACATTTCAGTTTATGTTAATCAACTGCTTATAAAATGCAAATGTAAATAAAACAAGTTTTAATGATTTTTATTGCCTCATGCTAGGTAATAGTGACTTTTTAAATGTGAGTTAAGTAACACATTATAGTTTGATAAGGCCACAGTAACAACAGAAAATCTAACTCCAGAGCCAGTTTACTTGGGTTCAAATCCTGGCTCTGCTACTTATTAGCCATGTGATCTTGGATAAGTTATTTAACTTCTCTACATCTCAGTTATCTTCATGCATAAATTGGAGTTAATGCTAGTTCTACCCTATCAGGTAGTGAGAAGATATTTAAGTAAGTACGTGTAAACCACTTGGAACAGTGCATAGCACATAGCTCTCAGTGTAAGTGTTAGCTATCCTTCGATCTTAAATGTATTTTTCCAAGACTCTGGCTTTCTGTGGAGAAATATTAAGAAACCAAGTTTGAAATACTTGAACTGAAATTATTTTATATGAATGTAACATTAAAAAATCATTAGTTGGAAAATTAGTGATTTTTTGCATGGATTAACTGAGCTGAAATATATACTAATTTGTTAAACATGAAATTTAGATACAGAGGGTCAATATGAGGAAAGCAGGGGATGAAATGGGCCAGCTTAGTTTTGATGACTCAGAAGCTCTTATATTGTGGCCTTTGGATAACTGGGTCAGGAAAAGGCATGTCCAGTTTACAGATGTGGAATGAAGGAAGAATGGAAACTGCTGGGCTCGCTAAGGCGTCCTATGCTGTCCTCTGGCCTTACTCAGTCCCAGAGATTGGACCTTCAGCCCCCAGGCTACACTTAAATTACTTAGAAAGAAAGGGTTTGCAGGGTCTGTAGAAGACAATGCAGGGAGCTGATAATGCTGTAATATGACTTATAAGAGCAATATTATTTGAGAAGATAGAGAAGATTTATACAAGGGAATAAACTTTCCTAAAATTGTATTCTCCTCAGAAACTAAGTAGTGTAGTAATTGGGCCTTGTCATTCAGTCTTGGTATCGGTTCTCTCTCTCCCAGTCAACATTTGTTCTTCTAATGGCCGTTACTGTGTATGCCGTTGAGCAATAACCACATTCCTTTAAAAATATTCTGTAGGGGCGCCTGGGTGGCTCAGTCAGTTAAGTGTCTGCCTTCAGCTCAGGTCATGATCCCAGGATCCTAGGATTGGGCCCTGCGTCGGGCTCCCTGCTCTGCAGGAGGCCTGCTTCTCCCTCTCACGCTCCCCCTGCTTGTGTTCCCTCTCTAGCTGTCTCTCTCTCTATGTCAAATAAATAAATAAAATCTAAAAAAAAAAAAAAAAATTCTGTAATTTAGTCGTCCTTCAATTAGCCCACATTAGTGTAAGTTTTCATTAGGTTAACATTCCAGGAGTACTATGTCAAATTATTTTGTATAGTTTTGCTTGTGTTTGTGGTATGTGATACAGGAGAGATAACTTAGATACTTCAAAAATGAATATAAAATATGTAACAACCAAAGTGTTGTATTAAGGTAATAGAATCCTTAACCTCTGTTAATAGTAACATGTTTCATGACAGCCGTCAAATACATAGGTACAGTTTGGTGGCATGAAAACATTTATGGTCTTTATGTCCATCAAACATTAACAAAAAAACCTGAAGACTTCCAAAAGATGTAGCACTGGAACTGCATCACTCACATCTCGTCCTATGGGAAGCAGAGTTGACTGAGAACCGCAGCTGCTGCCCCATGGGATCCACCCCTGTGTTCCTGCTGAGGCTACACTTCCTCCAGGCTGTTCCCAGCCAATGAATGAGTATGATGGCCCACTCCCCTCATGGATGACATTGGCTCAGGGACTCCCCATTAGCCTGCTCATTACTTTCCTCAGACTGTACTGCTATCTGAGACTCTTCCTACCCAATCCTCCTTTCCTTCTCTCTCCCTTCATAGGTGTCAGACTCTGCCTACTTGTCCCCTTCATGATTCAAAACATTTCCCCAGTAAATCACATTTAATCCCATTTTATCATTTGTTTCTCAGAGAACCCAAACTAACGTGTATAGTCTTAAAAGAACAGCCTATAAAAGAACAACTTATAGACAGGTTTTTAGAAAATGCCACAAAGCTTGTGGCTTTTTCTAGTACAACATAGTCTAACCATTTAAATTTTACATTGCTTCGGGATTCTGGGAAATTATAGATTGTACATTTATACAGAAGGCTCATACCCTGGAAGCTTGTACATTTTAGGTGTTTTGGTAGAATTGAATTATGTCCAGCATTTTTCTTATTGTGATGTCAGTTGCTGTGACCTACTATGAGTCAAAATCTACTGTTAACCTATTACTAAACTTGAAGAGCCAGCCTAAAGCCATATTCTGCAAATAAATAACAAATGTTCATTGGTTGAATAGTATGGCTTACAATGAACAAACAGTAATTGTTAATGATGAATCAGCATTTTTTTTTGTATTTTTTTTTTTGTATCAGCAATTTTAATGATACTTTCAGAACAGGGCAGTAATTTTTACAAGTGCAAGATAAGAATGGCAGTGGACTTTTTTTTTTTTTAAGATTTTATTTATTTGACAGAGATGGAGAGCACAAGCAGGGGGAGTAGCAGGCAGAGGGAGAGGGAGAAGCAGACTCCCTGCTGAGCAGGGAGCCTGCCGCGGGGCTGATCCTGGGACCCTGAGATCATGACCTGAGCCAAAGGCAGATGCTTAACTGACTGAGCCACCCAAGTGCCCCAAGGCAGTGGACTGTTAACCAATACTGATTGATCAACTATGAAGGAAAGTAAAATGAAGAATGCCTGAGTTCATTCCTGGATTCAGTTGATTCTATTTAATCAGTGATTGTTCAGATATTCTGCTAGTCTCTGTGTATTTGGTGATGAATGAAACAGAGCCCTTGCCATCCTGTCATAAAGTCTGATGGATTTGATTTACACATGAGAACAATTCCAAATGATAACTGACTGAAGACTAAATGCATTGCAAGTGACTGTACTTCACCCCAGCCAAACCAAAGGGAACTTCCAATGTTTGATGAGGCTTTCACTTTCTGGATTTTTATTACTAGATGACTCTTTAGAAATCTACGTGTTCACCTTTTTAAATTTAAACTGATTCTGTGAGATATGGATCTAGTCAAATATTCATTCTGTGATGAGTTGTGCTCTGACCTTACCATATATCAGACATTGACCTAGGCACTGACCAGGAAGGTGTGGAGTGAACAGAGTGATGTAATTAAGATTCCTGGACATGTAAAGCTTCCTCAAGCCGTTCCTGGCTCCAGAAGGGCGATTTTGGCGGGCATCCCTCTGCTCAGCCGCTGGAACTGAAGCTGCCTCTGACTTCCCTAAGCCAGGACTGGCTGTTATGAATGAATTATAAAGAATATTGAATGATCCATGCATAGGAGGGGATATGTGAATATTAAGAAATATTTATCATCATTAAGTATTTGGTGTTGGTTCTGTGTCCTCTGGGGACTTTGTTCTAAGTCTTCCTCCTTGAGATCTTTCATTCATAGAAAGACACCACTTTCCTGACCCTCCCATTGACTCTGGCCTTGGTTCCAACATATGGGGCTTTTGCATCTCCCTCCTTTTCTCCTCAGTGGGGGCAACACTATATATTCTGTCTAAACCAACTTCTCTCGTGATCACCCAAATCTGGATGGAAAATTAAAAAGGTAACCTCTAATATTCAAGGTAACCTCTAATATTCAACTTATTAGAGGTTACCTTTTTAGATAAAGTAACAGAATCTACTGTATCAGCACTCTTTGGTCTTAAGGCCCTTTTATACTCTAAAACTCTTTGGAGGTCCCTTAGTTGTTTAGGACCCCAAAGAACTTGTGTTTACGTGTGTCGTATCTATTGATATTTACCATGTTAGGAATGAAAACTGAGCAATATTTAATTAATTTTAAAATAATCCCAGGGGCGCCTGGGTGGCTCAGTCATTAAGCGTCTACCTTTGGCTCAGGTCATGATACCAGGGTCCTGGGATCGAGTCCCTCATTGGGCTCCCTGCTCCACAGGAAGCCTGCTTCTCCCTCTCCCACTCCCCCTGCTTGTGTTCCTGCTCTCACTGTCTCTCTCTCTCTCTGTCAAATAAATAAATAAAATCTTTTAAAAAAAAAATAATCCCATAATTGGGGCACCTGGCTGACTCAGTAGAGCATGCAGCTGTTGATCTCAGGGTCATGAGTTTGAGCCCCACCTGGGGTGTAGAGATTACTTAAAAATAAAATCTTAATAATAAAATAACCCCATAACAAACCCATTACATGTTAACATAAAATAGCATTTTTTTGGAAAAATAACTAATTTTTCTAAAACAAAAATTGAGAAAAGTCGTATTGTTTCAAATTTTTGTAATCCTCTTTTATGTCTAACAATAGAAGGCAGCTGTATTTTCATATCCTTTTCTGCATTCAATCTGTTGTGATGCTGCTTTCTTTTTTTTAAGATTTTATGTAATCACTTGAGAGAGTGAGCGAGCACAAGCAGGGGGAGTGGCAGAGGGAGAGGGAGAAGCAGGCTCCCGGCTGAGGAGGGAGCCCAACAATGGGCTTGATCCCAGGACCCTGGGATCATGACCTGAGCCGAAGGCAGACGCTTAACTGACTGAGCCACCAGGCAGCCCATGATACTGCTTTGATTGAGGTGTATCGAAGAAAAAAGCTGGCTTCACACAGATCCAAAGTTAGAAAATGGAGGATCTCATAGATCCCGTGAAAAGGCCTTGGGGACCCCCAGAGTCCTTGGACCACAAACTTCAAGAACTGCTGAGTCAATTAAGTAGAAAGGAGGGTACTAAATGCAGGGCAAGCAGAACTGGCTGAGCCTCCAAGACCAAGTTTCAGAACCACACAACAGCGCTGGCTGGAGAAAGGAGCTGGTACCTGAAATTCTAGTCGGCTGCACCTGTTCCAGGCAAGAACCCGCTGACCACTGGATGGTCACAGCCACCACTGTAGCCACCTGAGCCCCGGAGGCTGCCGCCAACCACACTGACAAAACAAAGACTTGGTAGCTTCCCCCCCACCCCCATCTATCCTATTTCTGCATCATTGTCCTCTGTGGGTGGACACTAAAGTCAGATGTCTGTCTACCCTAGTGGAGGATAGGACATGTACTGTCACCGAATTCTGTGTGGCTTTGGGAGGCTTCACACTAGGGAACTTACCAGATGTAGAGATGGTGTTCAAAAGATTTTGTGCAGATGTTACGTGTCAACCACTATCATCTGAGAAAACTAGTTGAGAATCAGCTTTATTAGGGCATCAAATTGTGAAATATGTAAAATATAATGTAGACCTTTAAAAAATAAGGTTTGCGTGATCCCTAAGACACATTAAATGTCTATTCTTGCTCATTTGAAGAATGCTTCCATAAAGATTGGACATCTGAGCCTGTAATTTCTTTTTACGCCACTTACATAGCCTTGGTTAATGAATATGAACATTAGTTATGTGAAAGTTGCTTAAAATTCAGGAACAGCCCATATTCATTTAAAATACAGTCTAGATATATTTAGGCCCTGCTTTTCTAACTTGGTCATGGCAAGTGGAATCTTGTTTAAAGCCTTGAAACTGCAAGTACTCCTAATTAGGAGTTTTACTAGCTGCTGCTAGTAAAAAGGAATCATGGACAGATTGAGAAGGGAGTTTTTTGTTGATGCAGGTGTGAGAAGGAGATGAAAATCAAAGGAACTTTTAGAAGCAACTTATTAAGAGAATATTGGAAGCTGAAAACATGCAAGGGAGAAAACTAGGGAAATGTCTTTGCAGGGTTGTCTGTAGCCCCTTTAGAAAAATCTGAATTTATAAACTGAGATGTTATAGACTGGACTGTAACCATTATTATTTTTTAAGATTTTATTTATTAGAGAGAGAGAGCATGCGCGCGCACAAGTGGGGGGAGGGGCAGATGGAGAGGCAGACTTCCCGCTGAGCAGGGAGCCTGACGTGGGCCTCGATCCCAGGATCCTGAGATCATGACCTGAGCGGAAGGCTGACTCTTAACCGACGGAGTCACGGAGGCGCCCCTGTAACCATTATCTTAAAACATTGTATATTTCCTAGCATAGGAGGTCACTGTATTCAAGCTGACATCTTCAACTTTAGATATT